CCCCGACTCATAGCGACCCCTCCTTGGGTTTCCGAGGCAGTATCACTATGGAAGTAGGATTGCCTAACCTTCCTTCTGAGGAATGGCTGGTGGGTTTGAACCGCCAGCCTTCTGGTAGCAGTCAAGTGCCTTAGGCACTATGCTACCAGAGCAAGAAGCATAGATAATAGTAATACATAGGAAAATAAGTAGGACATGATGAGTTCTGCATACCTATTACCTTTGTTTTTAATATAATTTATTTAATTATAAGGTTATATTGTTTTATTTTTAATAATGGCTTTGGCTAACACCAGCTTGCAAAATTCTTGGGCATCTAACTATCAGCTCTCGTGACCAGCATGAGGGAATCTGAAAGGTGCCGAAAGATCTGGCACATCACTGATACAGATACAGAATATGTGAAAGAGACAGAAGAGGAAACAGAAATCAGAAAGGGTGCAATCAAGGTGGGTCTGTAGAACCAGCTTCATTTCATTCTTTGCAAACAAACCTCATATGTACATAGAACAAAGGAAAGAGTAGCCATTCCATTTGTTTAATAGAGAAAGGGGTTTGCTCTAGCAGTGAGTAAGCCACATCTCTTACAGAAGAGTGGAATCTTCCTTTAAAGTATTTAGGTTGAATCATACAAAATTGCTGACACGTGACCATTTCTGACCCACAACAACAGTAATTTTGTATGGCTCAACCTAATCAAACAGCAGAGAGGGAGACAGCATACTCACGTTTTATAGATGACTGGTTTGCAATGCTGAAGCCAGAGACATTTCTCTTGTCCCACCACGGTAGGTGTAAGGTCATATTCACTCCCTCCTGCATCTTGATGCGGGACACAGTGCCATTGCTGCAGAAGGTTCCGATCCTGACTGTGGTGGTATCGATGCAGCCATTGATGGAGTAGGTGATTCTGTCTGGGCAGCTCTCGCCTGGCCCGATCTGCCTCAGGTAGGGTGTGGAGAACTGAAGCTCCAGACCAATGTTCTTAGGAGCTCTGACATCCCACATGAAAGTTCTGTTGAGGGCGGGCAATGAGGATGTTGAGGGCTGGAGCTCAACCTTCCCAAAAGGACATGGGCCTGACATGCAGTCTGAAACACAGTCACAAAAGCAATTGTGATCACAAACACTGAGATGCCACCCACCCTGTGCTCTTCCTCAGCTCCTGGAAGTAGATACTAAACCTGCTGGTACCCTCATCCCCCAGCCGCTGTGAGTGTTGGTAGCCAATGACTGACAGATATAGCCTTCTCTGGGGAAATGCCTCAGTTCAGGGGAGCTACTCTGGCCCAGAAAAGCCTAGAAGTTTTATCACCCTTCACCTCCACCCCAAGGGGTACCTAATAAAAAGAGTGAAAAAGCCTGGCCTATTTGCCTCAAGTGCCACATCCTAGTGATGCTCCCTGTGGGATAAGGCTGAGGTTAAAAAAACCCCAAACCCACTGCTGTCGAGTCGATTTTGACTCATAGTGACCCCCATTGGGTTTCCAAGGTAGTAAATCTTTACAGAAGTAGATTGCCCAGTCTTGTTTCCATGGAGTGGCTGGTGGATTTGAACCACCAACCTTCTGGTTAGCAGTCAGTGCCTTAGGCACTGTGCTAATATCACATCTTTGTTTTGCTTTTTTGCTCTCTCTTGCTTCCCTGACTTCTTCAGGGGTTTCTTCTGAGAGCCCCTCTGGACTTACATGAGAATCTTTGTCTTTGGCTCTAAGGGAACTGGACCTTGGACACCTTCTAACTACTGTGTTTTTCTTATTAAATTGCTGGAGCCCAACTGGTAGACTTTTGACCAGGCCTTTCTGGAAGCCAGAGGGAGGCCATTGGCAATAGACAGTCCATGCTGTGGAATATCCTACTAGCCCTATTCCGAGAGAGTTACAGTGTCACAATTTTGAAGGCATAGTGCCAAGATCCACCTTCTAAAACTGGTTTTCCCACAACACTCGCATCAACACACTGAGTCCTCTCTGAATGTGCAATTAATTCCCTTGATGGCTGGAATCCAGAGGCATAGTTATCTTCCTACCTCTTCGTTTTGATGCTGGCATTGTATTATCACTGTAGTTGGGTTTTCTCTTATTAAGGTTAACAATGAATAGTATCTTTGATGTACTTTGTTTCCTGAGCCTTTCAAAACAAAGAGAGTAATGTCGCTGTTGGAGTAAGAGGAAAGAAAGTGTGTGGAAGAAGTAATATAAAGTAGGCAACATAACATTCAAGGCTTTTGAACAGGAAATTTGAAAGTGTTGATGGACTCTGGTCACTGTAGTAATCATCTGGAGAATCTTTATTACTGCTCTGTTGGGGTGAATGCACTGTAACCTAAAGGGCATCATGGGAGAATTTCAGGGACGTCTAGGACCTCTGAGTTCATTCACATCGAACTTCGCATTTTTTTTTTTTTTTGCTCAAAATTGAAAAATATTTGATTTGTAAAATAAGATATTGATCCTTACATTTTAATTAAGCAGCGCACTATTATTGAATATTACAGTTTTAACATCACATCACTAAAAATTGTATATATAGAAATAATGAATTAAAAAATATATCTATTTTTTTATTGTGATAACTAGATAGGTAACAGAGCATTTGCCATTTTAACAATCCAAACTTCTCATTTTTGCTAAGCAACCCTGGAGTCCAGGTGACTAGTGCCAGCGCTTGCATAAACGCCCAGCTGTGTTTGATCAACCTGGGTTCTTGCCAGTGTACTGTATCTGCCTCACCAGTAAAACGGGGTTAGATAACATGGTGACTATAGTGGCTAACATCAGACTTTGTGTATTTTTAGACACGCATGGAAACTTGGTTAGTTTGATCAAGCCAGCTTTCATGCATCCAGGGTACCACTAATCAGGCCCTGCTGGATTCTATACTTGAATGCGATCATTTGACCCTATTAAGGCAGTGGTTCCCAGTCCTGGTTTCACACTGGGGTCCCCTGGAGCCCATTTGAAAAATAAGCATGCCTGCACCTATCCCCTAAAGATTCTGATTTAATTCAATACCAAGGACCTGGAGCCAGAAAGCCCTGCCCCCCAGCACCGCCTCTGCCAACATCCCTATGATGCTGGGCGACCAGGTTGTGAAAACAATGTTTCATCATAGGATGGACATACAGACAAGAGTAGTCAGAATATCAGCACACCCCCAAGTCTTCTCCTGTGTGCCCTGTTGAGTACAAATATTTTAAATAACTAAAAGATTATTATACAGAAAATGGAGAAGTGCATTACAATGCATTTTTCCCAGCACAGACTCCTACTGTCATGAATTTTAATGGCACTACGCAAAAAGAGGAGAACAGGGATGTCAAGCTTTGCCTCCACCTTTCAGAATGCTTATTCAGGAAAGATTTTAAAAATGAAGGGCAGACAGAATCCTGACTTGTTATTTTAAAAACTAATATCTTTACATTTGGTTTCAAAAACTGTGAGCATGGTTTTTTACACGTAATAAACTGTGTGTAGCAGCCTAGGATTGAGAGGTTGATCAATTCAAATGCTTGACTTATGAGGCATGTTATTGGTTTCCGTTTTTCTTTTTCGATGTGGAAGTCACTTATTGGTTTAACTAAATGCAAAAATAATGTATGCCTGTAAAAAAACAAGACAGTGAAGAATGTTATGTTTGTTACATGCCGTCGAGTCAGACACGACTCATAGTGACCCCTCCTTGGGTTTTCGAGGCAGTATCATTACGGAAGTAATTGTCCCATCTTCCCTCCTTCTGGTTAGCAGTCAAGTGCCTTAGACACTATGCTACCAGAGCTCCCCAGTGGAGAATAGGAAGAAGAAATGAATGGGAAGAAGAAATGAAATGTCCCTCCATCTCTACTACCAAACCCCCATCCCTTGTTTACAGAAAAACTGAAGTCTAACATTTTGGTGTTAATCCCTCTAGTCTTTGGACTCTATATGATTATGTGTGCATGTCAGTATATGTGTGAGTGCACTCACATGTGTGTATTTAATAAAGTGGGATTGAACTATTATAAGCTATGAAGCCCTGGTGGTGTGATGGTTAAGTATTTGGCTGCCAACCAAAAGTTGGTGCTTTGAATTCACTCAGGCTCCACAAAAGAAAGATGTGACAATCTGTTTTTGTAAAGATTAGAGCCAAGAAAACCCTATGAGACTATTCTACTATGTTGCATGGGGATGTTATGAGTTGAAATCAACTCCACGGCATCCAACAACAGTAACAACAATTATAAGCTGCATTGTTTTTAATGAAATAAAAATATCTTGGGCATCTTTCCATGTTGTTATGGATTGAATCTTGTAAATAAATATATGTTGTAAATTCTAACCCCTGTATCTGTGGTTATAAATCCATTTAGGAATGGGTTTTCATTGTTATGTTAAAAGACCTTATCAGTGTAGGGTGTGTTTTAAACCAATCACCTTGGAGATATAAAATGAGTAGATCAGGCATAGAGAGGCACCAGAGACAGGGGAAGATACACACCACCCCACATGAAGATCACCACCAGGGAACCAAGAACAAGGACCTTCCCCCAGAGCCAACAGAGAGAAAGCCTTCCCCAGAGCCAGCACCCTGAATTTGGACTAGAATCTAGCCTCCTAAACTGGGAGCTCTGGTAGCATAGTGCCTGAGGCACTTAACTGCTAACCAGAAGGCTAGCGGTTCAAACCCACCAGCCACTCCTCGGAAGGAAGATGGGGCAATCTATTTCCATAGTGATACTGCCTCAGAAACCCAAGGAGAGGTCTCTATGAGTTGGGTCCGACTCGACGGTACACAACAACAACAAACTGAGCAAATAAATTTCTGTTTGCTAAAGCCACCTACTTGTGTATCTGTTACAGAACACTAGATAACTAAGCCAGATGTCAAATACACAGACTGATTTTATTATTTTAATAGCAACACACCATTCCATTGCATTCTTAATTATACCAACATTCTCCTCCAGCTTCACTGCAATTATAACTGTAATTGAATTAAATTGATAATATTAATTTAAGGAAAATTGACACTTTAAAAACATTGAGTTTTTCTGCAAGGAACCTAGTAAGTCTCCATTGACTTAGGGCTTCTTTTTTGTCTTTCAGTAACATATTTTGCTCCATATATATTTTATATATGCATTCCATTTCATTTTTGACAACTTCTAATTTTCCTAGATACATCCTTCATACATTCTGTGTTCCAATTATTAATGGATGTTTGCAGCTATTTCTTCTAATTATGAGTACTATTTCCTCACCACCACCAAGAAGAAGAGCTAGAAATGGAGAGCATCCTTTGGACTTGGGGTCCCTGAGCTGGTAGCCTCCTAGACCCAGGAGACAGAAAGAGAGAGAGAGAGCTGTAACACTGGAGATGGTGCAAGATGGCAAGAAGTGGAGGCTGAGAAGTGGCGGCAGCAGAGGCCACAGACCCAGAAGACAGGCAGGAGAATGCACAGTGGGTGCGCTGACCTACAGACCATGTGAGCTGAGTGCCTGCAGGCCAAGGCTTACCGGGAGACTGGGGTACCTCTGGGCATTTATCGGCAGAGCTAAAAGAGCTTTGTAACATCTGCCAGAGCACGGCAGAAGCCAGGATGAGGGGCCAAGGACCAGAGTGAGGCTTGCCTGTAACATGACTGAGAAGAGGCTGTCCTGATTGAAGATCTGTATCCTGAGTCTTTCCTGATCCTGAATTGTAACCTGTTACTTCCCTAATAAACCCTAAGACTGTGAGTATGGTCTGACAAAAAAAGGCTGCAGAGTGTAGGTACGCCTGACCTCCATACCTCTTAAGAATCAGCTTTGGGCTGTTGATCTTGAGGGTCTACTATAACAGGAATGACAAATTAAAGAGGAATGGCCTTGCATTCATCATCAAAAAGAACATTTCAGGATCTAATTTGAAGTACAATGTTGCCAGTGATAGGATAATATCGATAAGCCTACAAGGGAGACCAGTTAGTTCAACTATTATTCAAGTTTACGTATTTTTACCATCTTCTGAAATCTAAAATGGATCAAACTTGCAATCAAGATGCATTGATAATTACTGGTGATTGGAATGTGAAAGTTGGAAACAAAGAAGGGTTGGTAGGAGGAAAATAAGG